GTTAGCCCTTCGTCGGAGCGAATCGAGGAATTGTGGGTTGTGAGTGGTTTATATACAGAAAGATGGAGCTACGCTATTGGTTGGTGAAGATAGCCTCTTCCAGGTGTTCAGTTAGTTGGGGCGCAACGTGAAAAATAGCGAGCCAAAAATTGGGGGGAGATGGGCGTCGTGGGAACGGACCAAGCCTTTCTCTCCTTTTTTCGCTCACCGTCTTTTGCCCTGCCCCCCAACTAACTGAAGGTGTGTGGAAGAGGCTAATTTTTGATGACTTTTGACAAGTTTAGAAACCGTGTTTCATTTCTTATTCGCAAATTATGTTTCAATGATATAACTGAGTTTTCGTTTCCTTTCGGATATGTTCAACACAAGTGTTGAAGACCCTATTATAGTTTTTGCTACAGTCGTTATCGATCATAATAGAATCGCCCGAAGGAGTAGAGCGAAAGACATGGAGATCACAGAATATGACGGAAATTAATTCTCGCTCCAAAGTGGCGCCATTCCAATCCTAGCTAATCCTGGCTTGATGTTGTTACTGCTTTTGTAATCGTGGCTGTTGCTGAAATGCGGCCACATGATCGACTTACTTGTCTCTTGTAAGGAGAAATGATGCCAATCATCTCTGGTTTCAAGTGTTTCAATCGTCTGCTCCTCACATTGTCATCGAGTAGCATCTTCAGGTAGCGCTCTATAGTGTCTACCTCAGGAATGTTAAAGAATGAAGGACTATATTCTTCCCTCTCGTCTTTACCGTACACTGCGTGGAAGATCATCGGAAATTTCTTATTCGGTAACTGCTCCCAGTCGAGCATCACGTTTCTGTGCATGGGAAATTTTTATGTCAGTCAATGGAATTATACTGCCAATGTAACTCCACTCTTCGTGAGCACTTCGTCTTTAGTAAATGACTAAGTGTCGTTTAATCCCACTATTTGACATTTTTTCCTTGCCACTTTCAAAAGACACCAGTTCTTATTTTGGATGTAGTACAGTCGAGTGAGCCTACCTTTGCTTTGGAGCCCGGGTAAGACTGCATATTCATCCATATCGATTGTTAAAAGTTTGACGGGTTATTTAATAACACTACATCAATCAATCACAGTCCGTCCGTCCGTTAGTCGGTCAGTCCATCCGTCCGCCAGTCATTCACTTAGTCGGTCAATCTACCAGACATGTTTAACGGAAAGAGCTTTTCCCTGACTGAGACTATAGGCATTTTATTTTAATAATCTCACCTAAAATCTCCAGCACATTCTTTCAATTCGTTGTCATAAAACAGCTCATTGGGAATCTCAATGATGTTCTTATGTGAGCGATAGTTGTTCACAAGTTTCGTCAGCAGATCAGAGTCGTAACTCCCGCGGGGATCACGTGAGTATGTGTTGCATGACGTCATCAGTCGTTCCAAAAGTGATGTTTCTGTAAAACAAAATCATTGGTATTGAGTGTGATCTGTTGTAGCTTGCCACCATGGGTTGTTTGCAAAGTAGGGATCTCTAAAGGTCAAGACGGTTAAAGCAGTCCGCACGGAGTGGCCAAAACCGCTGTGGATGTTTATGGAAAGAACATAGACAGCTATGATAGGTTTCTTTTTTCACGACCAGAGATAGAAAACAGGAAGTTGTTGTGTAGGTTACTGCCATAAAGCACTCTAGGTGTGGTCAAGGACGGTTTGAGGACCAATCGACTGAAGCAATCAGGGACATGTAACCCATCAAAATAAAAGTGGCTTGACTCTATTACGGCCATTTTCTGCGTTCTTATTAATAAGAATAAACTTCGGATTAAAATATTCAATACAACAGAAATTGTGTTTCTACTTTTCTTGCAGTGTACGGAAAACGATGGAAACCATTTTGAATGCAACACTTGCAGTCGCTATTCCCGGAGGTCGCCAGAACTCCCTTTCTCCTCTACCATGTGAGTTGTTCAAAACTGCGTTTAAGCTCAACGTAATTCATTGTAAATGCCTGGAAATAGTAAATATACCGCTGATTCAAAGTGTATGGTTTACGCTTATTCGTTCAGTAGCTACGTCAAGATTCGATTGTCTGTTTTATCCTGATTTAGTTTGTTTTAAATACTCACCGAGACCATATTCCCGTGTGGTTCGTGACCTGAGAATCGGTCCCAACTGCTTGGGGTCTCCAGCGAGTACCAGCTGACCGCCCCTTGGATGATTAGGGTCCAGGAGATCCGCTACAGGGATGATACACTCGGGTTCTGTTGCATGCCCTGCCTCGTCTATGAAAATGTGGCTGAAATGATTGCGAGGAAACTTCGCCGAGACCAACCTTGGTACAAAAAAAGACGGCGTGAAGCATTATGACAGCACACTTCGGGAGATGGTAGTGGTGGTGGGGGTGAGAGGAAATCGGCTGGTTCTGTTTTATTTGTTTTCATTTGATAAATAGTCGTCCTCGTATATTTTTAGAAAACACGTCATAATGTTAGTACCTACCTTCCTGCGGTGACCAGAGTGGTGACAATTATACGATACTTGCTCATCAAGTCCTCTTTGGACGGGTAGAATATTTCATGCCACACGGGATCAAAATTCACTACTCGCGCGTCCTGTAAATGAAAAATAAATCAATTATGCATTATCAAAGGCAATGGACTCCATGCATTATCAAAGGCAATGGAAAATGACCATTGTTTGATGGTCCTTTTAGATACTCCAGGGAAACATTGACAGAGTGACACGATGAAATCATAGCCCTGTAGGTGATTTGTCCGGCACTTGTTCTTGATATCACAACTTCCATTCTTTGGTTCTTTTATACCTTCACTCGTGTTACCTTAGAAACCTTCTTTTCAATTGACTTTAAGCTCCGATGGGTAGGAAATTTTCCAGCATACACAAACCATACAGAAATAGGCCCTTTGCAGGATCCGGTCACATGGTACGGAATTAATTACGCTGGGACGCAAGTTACGCAATGGGACTTCCAAAACAAAGGAAAGTCGGGCTGGACTGGTACTAGTTCCTTTGTTTTGGAAGTCCCACTGCGTAACTTGCGTCCCAGTATAATTTAATTCCCTACCATGTGACCGGATTGTGCAAAGGGCCTATTGAATAATTTTCTGCGTTGCACGGTCTACTTATATAAAATGACATGAGAAATGATACATAAAGCGATGACAGTTAAAAGCAAGCAAATCCAGTGATTATATAAAAACCAGCCTAAGCTAAGTGGAGTAGCATTTGCCCCTACTGGGGCAAAAACAGGCTCCACCTGTATTCCGTACCGTTCCCCTTTTTTCGATCAAGAAAGGGCCATTCTTTACTCAGCCCAACCCTTTCGAACAACACTGGATCCGCCACGGTAGTGTGCAGTGCACGTTTTATTTCAGCAGGGCTGTTTTCTAAAATATTTACTGTCGAGTAAAAAACTCCACTTCCAGCACTCGAACTTTACCTTGAGAGGTTGTGGCACAAAGTCCCAAGGTCTGGATGCAGCATACATCCTGAATATCTTGCCATTATCGATGTGAGCCAGCAAACGTTCCGCCAACAGGTCAGCGGCACTGTTTTCAGGCGCACACGCAAGAATAAAGCTTGAATCGATCTGGTTGTGCACCTAAGTGTGACAAAGAAACTTCCCTCAGAGGATAGCGGACAAAACATATGTCGGGAAACTAGTGAGGCTTATGGCAAACGTTCCTTGAAGCGCTGGTATTGTTTCTGCTCTCTATTGCGCCGTAAAGAAAATAACAATAAAGGGGAGCAGTGCACATCATATGATTAACACGCGTGAGAGTTGACAAGACACTTCACAGATACTTCAAAAACGCAAAGAAGAGGACGCCATTTTGTTAACAACAGCACACTGCTAAGCTACTAACTATCTACAACAGGTTAGATAGTGAATAATCTAGCCAATAGGAGAACGGCATTCGTGGCAGAACGCTAGAACATACATACAAATCACCAACAGGTATGTGTTGTGAAAACTGCAAATTCAGGGATATGTCGTCGTCATCAACCGGTTGGTTGTTCCCCAACTGCGATGGCGATACCTGAAGTGGCGCAGAATCATGAAGGCAAGAAGCTCAGACCTTGCACCACCTAATCAATTTTG